CCGGCTCACCAGCGCCTGCATGTCATACATGGTGCTCAGGTGGTCCCAGATGACCTTGGACGGCACCTGCCTGCCGATGTTCTGGCTGAACTTGTCCCTGATACAGATCATGTGGAAGTGCCGGTTCACACCTGCGGAGAAGGCTCAGGTCGGAGGGGGCGCAGGGCAGGGTCGTTGGGGAAGGGGTAAAGAAGGGCAGAGGCGGGCGCCGCACCGGGCAGGGTGGGCGGGAGGGGGCTCCGCCCGGCGCGCGCCCCTGGCCGTTGCCGGCTCGTCCCGCCCCCACGCAGTCCGCGGCGCCCGCTCACCGACGGGCTTGTGGCCCAGCATGGCGTGGAAGAGGCACACCTCCACCTCCGGGCTCCACACCACCGTCTCCTCGGCGGGGCTGGTGGCCGCCTCCCCCGGCCCCTTGTCGCCCGCCGCGCCCCCGCCGCCCACCTCGGCCTCCCCCATGGCCCGGCTCAGCGACGAGCCCCGGGCGGGAGCGGCGGGGCAGGGCTCCGCGCAAGCGCACTGGCCGGGGAGCGTGCTCTGCGCTCAGCACGCAGGCGCAGGCTCAGCGGAGGGTGGGTCCCGGCGCGCGTCTGCGGCGCCCCCTGGCGGCGCGGCCGAGTAACGCAGCGCGGGCCTCCGGAAATGGAGATTTGGGGAAAGGGAGGGTAGCGCTCTAAATTAGGTCGGGGCGATCGCTGTACAACTCTGGGTAAGGAGGAGCTGCAAATTACACCCCAATAAAGCGATTAAGAAATAAATAAGAACAGGCCACAGTCAGTTCCGCCAGTGTGGGCTTTACAGGCTTCTATTGCCTCTGGTCCGAGCGCTGCACAAAGCGGCTTCTGCGCGACGGGGAAGGATCTTGACGCAGACGCCCAAGCCGGTGGCCCCGGAGGGTTAGCCCGGGCAGCGGCAGGGGCCAGGCCTGGTGGGGCCCCGGAGAGGCCCCGGAGCAAGTTAACTGCGGTCCGCCCCCGGGCGTGGCCGAGGCAGGGCCGGGGCCCGAAGGAGGGTTAACCGCTAGTCGGCGCCCAAACCGCGGCCGGGGCGGGGCGGGGCGGGGCGGGGCCGGGCGGAGTCTTGCCCTGGGGCGTGGTCAAGATGGGGCTGCGGGCTGGGAGGCAGCAGCCCCAGGACGAATCAAAGCAGCACCCAATCAAGGCCTCCCGGGCCACCCCGCCCCGCCCATTCCCGCCAGGCCACGCCCCTGGTGCCCTGGCCACGCCCCGGGTGCCCCAGCCCGGACCCGCGGGCAGGGCGCTCGGGCTCCCAAAGGTTGTGGACTCGGGGGTGAGGCTCGGGGATCCCCTCTCTGCCCCCTGCAAGCTGTGCGACCGCGCCAGGCACCGAGCCTCTTAGCCTCGTTTCCTCTGCATGCCATGGGCCGAGGAGGACGCATCCCGGGGGTATTGTGAGGGTTCCGCCGCCACGTCTGTCTGCTCAGGGCGCCGGTCCAGTTCGGAGTAAACAGCTGGAGCCACGCCGCTGAGCGCGCCCCTTGGCCCGCGTAGACTCGGGACAGCCACGCGGACTCAAAGCGGGGTCGGCGGGCCGGGGCCTGGACCTCGCTTCCCCTCTGTGAAGGGGCTGCCGGTGATGCAGTCCCCACAATTCCAGCAGGAGAGGTGGCCCAGGGCCTCCAGCTGTCCTGGGAGCCCTCGGGAAGCTGGGATCTGGTCCCGCCTGGCGGGTGCCCGATTTTTAACAATTTGTCCCGCGTCCCGCGGCGTTTTAAAAAAGTCCAAAAGATTTAAAAGAATCTTTCCAAAAATCGGGACTTTTAAAATATATTTTATTGATTCTTTTACAGAGAGGAAGGGAGAGTGATAGAGAGCTAGAAACATCGATGAGAAAGAAACATTGATCAGCCACCTCTTGCACACCCCCTACCGGGGATGTGCCCGCCAACCAAGGTACATGCCCTTGACCAGAATCGAACCCCGGACCCTTGAGTCCGCAGGCTGACGCTCTATCCACTGAGCCAAACCGGTTTCGGCAAAATCGGGACTTTTTAAAAACGCCGTGGGATGCGGGACAGATTGTTAGAAATCGGGACTGTCCCGCCAAAAGCGGGACGTCTGGTCACCTTAGCCTTGGCCCAGCGTGAGCCTTGACTCAGGGCTGGCCTCAAGGCAGAAGTGAACACAGGCTCTTCAACGCAGGAAGTGCTCAATGGAGGGCGGTCCTCCGTTATAATCTCTTTACTGTGCCTGGACACCTTAGGGTCCCTGCTCCTTGGCAACATTCATTCTCTGCTCACTCCCACCCATCTTTGCCTTAAATATATATATTATAGATTTTTTAATAGGGAGGAAGGGAGAGGGGTAGAGAGTTAGAAACATCGATGAGAGAGAAACATTGATCAGCTGCCTCCTGCATGCCTCACACTGGGGACCGAGCCCACAACCCGAGCCCACAACAGGGCATGTGCCCTTGACTGGAATCAAACCCGGATCCTTCAGTCCGCAGGCTGATGTTCTATCCATTGAGCCAAACCAGCGAGGTTTTCATTGGAGAGCCTCCTCTCCCAGGTGCCTGGGGAACCTTGACAAACACCTCCAGCTGGAGTGGCAAGCTATCGGCTCCACCACCAGCTGGGGCTTGCAGCCCACACATCTCACCTCTAGGGGGCGTCTCCCATTCACTGTTTGGACTCAAACCAGGGCTCCTCAGAAGCATGCAGGCCGGAACCAAATGAAGGCTGTTCCTTTGCATGGCCCACCCAGAGGTTGGCATCTTGAAAAGGAAGTCCAATTCTTCAGGAGGGCACCTGAGGGAGGAATCGCTGCGATGACCGGGAGGTGGGTCCGCCTGGGAGGGAAGCGCTGTGGTCGGCTCCGTTGATCCTCACAGCACCCTCTCCTGGTCCTGTTATTGTCCCCACCACAGCCCTGCAGGGCTGAGCTGGGCCAGGCAGGAGGAGCCACAGGATGTCAGTCTCAGCTGCTGATCATCCCTGACTGGTGTGGGGGTTGGCTTCTTTTTGGGGTTGCCAGATTCAACATTAAATTCCACTTTCAGGTAAACAAGGAACAATTTTACAGTATAAGTATGTCTCAAACATTGCATAGGTTATGCTTATATCAAAAACTATTCATTATTTAAAATTCAGGTTTAACTGGAGGCCTTATGTTTTATCTGACGCTCCTACCCCTCAGTTTGCCTCAATCACTGCCTGTTTGGCAGCTTGGTGAGCTGAGATGCAGGGCCCGCCGGCCCGCAGTGCCTGCCTCTTGCTGACGTGTGTGCGGGATGGGCGGCCCTGTCCCTGCTGGGGGCTTAGGGTTTGTGGAGGACGTGAGAGACCAGGGGAGACCTTGGGCTGGTTTTGTGGTTGCAGAAGACCCCCCAGGGAAGGGTGTACAAGAATCAACTTCATTACCTCCTGCCTCATGGACAGAGCCTGTGTGTTTCTGCCAGGAAAAGCCTGGCGGTGAGGTTCCCCACCCGCCTGCGCGCCTGTGGGTGGTGGTGTGGACCCGGAGGAGGGCGGGAGTTCTGGCAGCCCTGCGTCTCCGAGGGTGCGCAGGGACGAGTGCCCGTGTGTGCCTGTGTGTGCACTGTCAGCGCACAGAGGCCCCGCTCTGCTGAGTCAGCGGGAGGGCGTTGTGGAGGGCAGTCCTCCGGTGTCCGGAGGTGAGGGCCTCGGCGGAGAGCCCAGCCGCTGCCAGTGCTGCTCTCAAGCTGCCTCGCAGTGGGCAGGGGAGCGGGCAGAGCTGCTTTTCATCTCTCTCCCCTTCCCTGTCCTTTTTGTGGGATATGGCCTTCCACGCCCTCGGGCACAGCCTTTGTCTGTCATTAGTGCCAGGCCCTGCTGGGAGGACCTTTGTCCGCTGGCAGATGGTGATTGTGAGAGCTGATGGCCTCCCCTGGGACTGCAGGGACCAGCGGAGAGGAGGGCTTCCTGGTTATTCTGTGCCAATGGCCATTATTATCCTGTTTGTGTTGGGGAAACCGAGGCACAGGAATTCTGGGTACCTGGTCCACTATGCTAGGTGGGGTGCTGGGCTTTGCACTCTGCCCATGTGACCCCCCACTCTCTCATCTTCCCTGAGAGTGGGGTCCCACAGGGGCCATTCGTTTTGCCCTGCTGGCCGGGGAGCCCTGGACTGGTCTATAGGAAGCCCTTCTCCCGGAGGTTGTCATGCTGGGGGGTGGGGGGGTAGATGGGGGAGTGCGGGCCTCCTGGTGAGGGACCTGTGAAGTGTGCTCTGTCCTCAGTGAGAGCAGCTCCCAGGGGGCCGTGCGGCTGAGTGGCATAGCGGTGGGGACTTAGCTTCTGGCTCAGTGCGGCCAGAGGGGAGGAGAGAGGGTCTCCAAGGGCGGTGCTTTGTGATGTCGGCTTTGAAGGCCCCACCTGCCCAGAGCAACTCAGTGAACCTGCCCCCGCCCCGTTCTATTTTCTAATGATGAGGGCTTTATGGGACCTCTCGACCTCCAAATGCTGCAGGACAGCAACCCGACAGCCGCCAAATGCCGTGGCGGCCGTGGCTGAGTGCGCATCATTTCAGCTCTCAGGTCACTCTCGAGGGAAAACAAGGGCTGACTTTATTAGAAAGGATGGGGTCACTCCCCACGGAGGCAGCGCCCAGAGGCCAGCTCTGCTTTCCTGTGACTTACAGAAAGGGGTGCTTCTGTGGGCCACTGCGGACAACAGCTCTTTGTAAGGGGCAGCGATTCTCTCAGAGGCAGGAAAGTCATTCTGAAATCAAATGCCTCTGCTCACACTTACCCTGAGTCAGGCCCTGCAGCATCTCTAGTGTACTGCTAGTCTTCTCCCCTACCCATCCTTTCATTCCTCCATCTGACCACTCTCCTTCCATCCACCCACCATCCATCTACCACCCATCCATCCATCCACTCATCTATCTATCCATCCATCTACCTACTCACCTATCCACCCATCCATCCATCATCCACCACCCATCCATTAATCCACCCATCTACCATCCACCACCCATCCATCCACCATCCATCCATCCACTCATCTATCTATCTATTGTATCTACCTACCTACTCACCCATCCATTAATCCACCCATCTACCATCCATTCATCCATCCATCCACTCATCTATCCATCCATCTATCCACCAACTCACCCATCCATCTACCACCCATCCACCCACTCATCTATCTATCCATCCTTCTACCTACTCACCCTTCCATCTACCACCCATCCATCCACCATCCATTAATCCACCCATCTACCATCCATCCATCCATCCATCCACACATCTATCCATCCTCTATCTACCTACTCACCCATCCATCCACCATCCACCACCCATCCATCCACCATCCATCTACCACCCATCCATCCATCTGCCATCCACCACCCACCCATCCACCATCCATCTACCACCCATCCATCCACCATCCATCTACCACCCATCCACCCATCATCCATCTACCACCCATCCATCTACCACCCATTCATCCACCATCCACCCACCATCCATCTACCACCCATCCATTTACCATCCATCCATCCACTCATCTATCCATCCATCTATCTACTTACTCACCCATCCTTCTACCAACCATCCACCCATCATCCATCTATCACCCATCCATTCACCATCCATCCACCATCCATCCACCCATCCATTAACCCATCCATCCATCCATCCATCCACTCATCTATCCATCCATCTATCTACCTACTCACCCATCCACCCACCCACCCACTCATCCATCCATCCACCCACTCAGTCATTCATCTACTTGTCTATCCACCCATCTACTATCCACTCATCTATCCACCATCCATCCATTCATTCATGCACCCATTCATTCACCCACGCATATACTATCCATCCATCCATCCATCCATTTATCCATCGATACACCCATCCATCCACCCACCTACCATCCATCCAATCATCCACCCATCACCCACCAGGACAGCGAAAAGGTTCGCAGGGGTGTCCGCCAGAGCAGGTGAACGTCAGTGAGCAGCAACCAAAGCTGCTAGTGGTGGGAGGAATGGGTCCCAGCCTGGGCCACACTGGCTGGAGTGCATGTCCCTGTGGTTTCCCTCTTTTGTCCACTGACCATTGACCATGCTGTCCAAGGCTGGTCCCCAAGAGCAGCCCTTGGAACATCATGGAGAGCAGGGCATGCTGGTTCAGAAGCTCAGATCTGTCCACTCCCTGCCCCCACCCCACCTCACTGTGGCTTCCAATTCAGATCCAGGATGCAGCCCGCTCAGGACCAGAGCTCCCAGCACCAGATGGCACTGCAGGTGGGCCCTGGGCATTTCTGGCACTGGCTGAGTCAGCTCCCTGGTCTGTGGATAGTGACTACTGGGACATGAGAGGGGCTGAGCTCAGGGCTTCTCTACACGTGTGCACAGACACACATGCAAAGCTTTCTTTAAAAATATATGTTTATTGATTTCAGAGAGGAAGGGAGAGGGAGAGAGGAATAGAGACATCAACGATGAGGGCAAATCATTGATTGGCTGCCTTCTGCACTCTTCTTACAGGGGATCCAGCCTTTAACCCAAGCATGTGCCCTGATGGGGGATTGAACCATGACCTCCTAGTTCACGGGTTGACGCTCAACCACTGTGTCATGCTGGCCAGGTGTGCAAAGCTTTCTTTCTTTCTTTTAAAAAAATAATAAATCTTTCTTATTTAGATTTTTACATGTGTTCTTCTTTTCCCCTCCTCCATAGTTCCCCTCCTCCTGATACCCCACCCCACCCCATGCCCTTACCCTCCTCCACTGTCTCATCCAGTGTAAGATTTTTGTCCAATCTCTTCCTGCACCCTCAGAACTCCTTCCCCCTGAGAATTGTCAGTCCACTTCCTTTCTATGACCCTGATTCTATTATATCCTCCAGTCCATTCTGTACTTCAGATTTTTTATCCACTTGATTTTTAGATTCACTTGTTGGTAGATATGTATTTGATGTCTTTTTGTTGTTCATAGTTTTTACCTTTACCTTTTTCTTCTTCTTCCTCTTCTTAAAGAATACCCTTCAGCATTTCATGTAATCCTGGTTTGGTGGTGATGACCTCCTTTAGCTTTTTCTTGTCTGTGAAGCTCTTTATCTGACCTTCAATTCTGAATAATAGCTTTGCTGGGTAGAGTAATCTTGGTTGTAGGTTCTTGCTGTTGATCACTTTGAATATTTCTTGCCACTCCCTTCTTGCTGCATAGTTTCTGTTGAGAAATCAGCTGACAGTCATATGGGTACTCCCTTGTAGGTAACTAATTGTTTTTCTCTTGCTGCTTTCAAGATTCTCTCTTTGTCTTTTCCCCTTGGCATTTTAATTATGATGTGTCTTGGTGTGGTCCTCTTTGGATTCCTCTTATTTGGGGTTCTGTGTGCTTCCTGAACTTGTAAGTCTATTTCTTTCATCAGGTAGGGGAAGTTTTCTGTCATTATTTCTTCCAATAGGCCTTCAATATCCTGCTCTCTCTCTTTTTCTGGTACCCCAAAAATCTGGATATTGGTACACTTAAAGCCATCCCAGAGGCTCCTTACACTATCCTCACACTTTTGAATTCTTCCTTCTTTCTGCCTCTCTGGTTGAGTGTTTTTTGCTTCCTCATATTCCAGATCTTTGGTTTGACTCTTGGGGTATGTTGAACTACAGTTGAGTTTCTGTATATTCTTTTTAAAAAAATATATATTTTATTTATTTTTTACAGAGAGGAAGAGAGAGGGATAGAGAGTTAGGAACATCAATGAGAGAGAATCATCGATCAGCTGCCTGTTGCACATCCCCCACTGGGGATGTGCCCACAACCAAGGTACATGCCCTTGACCAGAATTGAACCTGGGACCTCTCAGTCCACAGGCCGATGCTCTATCCACTGAGCCAAACTGGTTTTGGCAAGTTTCTGTATATTCTTTATTTCAGACAGGTGTATGTTTAATTTCTGACTGGTCCTTTTTATTTTTTTTGTCATTCTCATTAAGGTCCTTGAAGTTCTCACTAAACTTCTTGGAGGTCTCATCAAGTTTCTCAGCAGTTTTTAGAAGATTCTTGAGTAACCTTATAAATGTGATTCTGAACTCTGTGTTTACTTTCCCCCATCTCACCCATTTGTGACATGCTTCTGTGTCTCCTCATTTTGGCTGCCTCCCTGTGTTGATGGAGTGGCTTTGTGTGGTCGGTGACCTATAGGGGCCAGTAGCTCAGCTTCCCGAGTCACCCAAGGTGGTTGCTCTTGGTACACCCCTTTGTGGGCTGGGTGCAAAGTCTTGATGTAGTTAAGCCTTGATTGCTGTTGGTACACTGGGAGGAATTGACCTCCAGGCCAATTGGCTATGAGGACCCGCTGTGTCTGTAATGGAAGAACTGCTGTGCTGGGGACACACTTGTAGTGCAGGCCTTGTTTCAGTGGGGCTTTGGTGCTCCTGAGTCTGCCTCCCGAATGTGTCACTTATGGATGTGAGGAGTTGAAATCTGGTGTCTCACACTGACCACTAGGCACACTGGCTTCTGGATCTCCAATGGGGTGCAGTTCAGCTACTGCCTGAGGCCACCCTGCAGGAGCTACAGCAAGAACCACAGTCCTCTCCTTTCTGCTTGGAGCTTGGAGGCTTTGGAGCTGCCTGCACCAGGTTGCAAGTTTGCTAGGTTAAACTGCAATAGAGAAGGCCTTTCATATGCAAAAGCTGCTGCTTGGAGCTTCGGTGTGTTTGTAGATTGTGTGGGGCGGAGTGTCAGGGTGTCACTAGGCTAGGGCGTGGCAAACAGCAATGGCTGCCAGTCAGCCGTCTCTGCCCCTCCGACTGCGTCCCCTTGTCTCGTGCCCCAGCACAGCGAACAATTATTCTTGCGTGCAGCTCTGCAAGCAAGCCACCCTCACTTTCCCACCCGATGGCAGACAGTCCAGCTTCTTTCCAGAAACTGGATTTCAGAGAGATTGTCTCTCTCTGGGTTGAAGAAAGCAATGCCCTCTGCCAGCCGGGATTCGGTGCCAGCCCATAACGCTCGTGTGCCATCTCCCACCTCGGTTTTTCTTCACTTGTGCCCTGAATGCTCCCCTCTCTTTCCGCCCAGTTGTAGAACTTTCACTCAGCCAGCTTTCCTGCGGTTCTAGACGTTTTGTCTTTTAGTTGTAGTTTTGAAATTGTTATGCATGGCAGCAGTTTAGATGTTTACCTACACCACCATCTTGGATCTCCCTCCAAAGCTTTCTTAATAGCAAAAGACATGGGTCTGCATCAATAGGGCAGTAAGAATAGCCAAAGTGGTGCAGTGGTTATTGTAGCGATTTCCCACTGCTGCTGCTGCAACAAATTACCACATTGCAGCTTTTCAAACTGCAGGCTCCTCCTGTCTTGCTGTGTAGGGCAGAGGGCCGGCCTGGTGTGGCTGGGTCCTCTGCACAGGGTCACAGTCTGAAGTCAAGGTGCCGTCAGTGAGCGCCTGTGGGGGGCTGTGGGAACAAGCCGAGCTGGCTCATCTCTGCTGTGCTGGGGACCAGTTCCTGGAGGCTGTGGGACTGAGGCCCATCCTTGCTGCCTGTGGCCTGGATTGTCCCCAGCTTCTCGGGCTCAGGCCCCTTTCTGCACCTTCAAAGCCACGGCGGCACCTCCAGTCTCTCCGACTTGCCCTCCGGCTCCAGGGAGGCCAGAGAAATGTCTCTGCTTTTAACTGTTGCTGTGACTTCTAGGCCCACCTAGCAATACAGGACACTCTTCTTACCCCCATGCTGTGGCCTCACTCACACTAGCACACCCTGTGCCCTGTCACATCACACACTCGTGTCCCAGGCTCGGGGGGGGGGGTAGACATCCACCTCCACGGACACGAAGCCACCTCCCGAGGCGGCGGCTCTGCGGCCTGGTGGGGGCCCAGCACTCCGGACGCTGAGGCGGGCCGCCTCCCACGGGCTGCGCCCCCTCCCGGGACAGGACGCCCTCCTGGCTGCCTCCGGGCGAGCCTGAGTGGCGGGAGGAACATGACGGTTCCTGGCACCAGTGTCGCCCCTCTTTTGTGTTGTGCTACTCACTTGAAAAATAACACTTTCAAAAAATATATATATATTATTGATTTTTCTTACAGAGAGGAAGGGAGAGAGATAGAGAGATAGAAACGTCGATGAGAGAGAAACATCGACCAGCTGATGTGCCCGCAACCAATGTATATGCCCTTGACCGGAATCGAACCTGGGACCTTTCAGTCCGCAGACCAATGCTCTATCTCTGAGCCAAACCGGTTTTGGCTAAAATAACATATTTTTATTTATTTCTTTATTAAATATATTTTATTGATTTTTTTACAGAGAGGAAGGGAGAGAGAGAGCTAGAAACGTCGATGAGAGAGAAACATCTACCAGCTGCCTCTTGCACACCCCCCACCTGGGATGTGCCCGCAACCAAGGTACATGCCCTTGATTGGAATCGAACCCGGGACCTTTCAATCCACAGGCCGAGGCTCTACCACTGAGCCAAACCAGTTTCGGCCTAAAATAACATATTTTTAAAACACAAAATATGAAAAGTCAAGATTGAAAATCAAGTCTGGGTCAGGGGCGCATGCACGGCCGTGGTGACTGGGAAGCTGGGCTCCGGGCAGTAACGGCTGGACAGTCACTGAGCAGCACCAGGGCCACTGCCTTCGAGGAACCAGAGCTCAGCCCGGGCGATGGGCTGGACGCTGGCTCTCAGGCGGGCGGAGGTGAGGGCAGGCACCTGGAGGGCCGGGGAGCCCTGTCCAGTATGGGGGGTGGGGTGAGGGGACGAAGAGTAGGGGCCGAGGGGGGAGGGTGCTG